AAAAGAAAAGGCACGCATATCGAAATTGTTTCCTGTACTGCTGACAAATTGTTATATGGCATGCATACTATAATGTTCATGAATAATTGATTGCTACTAGATTAATACAGGCATAGCATATTTCAAGGGACTGATTTGCTGTAATTTCCAATTTGATTTTTGCATACTTTTATATTTAGGACACTAATTACATAACACTGAAGATTACTCAATGCAATAATTCCATTGCAGTTTTATAGAAAATTATAAAATTTTCAGTTTCAATAAACAAATATATAATATTTCGATGACTCAGCAGGTAACATAATTTATTATCTTTCAAGTTTTTTTCGAAACTTGAAACTTTATTATCTTTCAAGTCGTAAATTCCCAAGCCAGATTCTTTTTATATAAATAGATGCATAGAGGAGAAAATGGAACGTTAATTATATTTTATTTCTTTTCAAAATTAATCTTTTAGATATATTTTTAACGAAAACGATATTATGCTAAGTTATAATACAAAAATTATTACTAATAATAATTTATATCCTAATATTTATATACTAATTTAATAATATTTATATCACTCAAAACAGAATTGGAAAACTCATTCAAATCATATTTAATCAAACATTTACGAGTTTATGGGAAAAAGGAATTTTGGGGTTTGTTTGATTTTTAACGGGAATTCAATCATTAAAATTTTTACCGTGTTTCCTCATTCAAAACATTAGCAAAAAATTTACTAAATAATTCTTAGATGTAATAGTATTCTTGTTATCTTTGTTATATGACTAAAAATAAATAAAAAAAGCGGCTGGGTATTCATATTATTTATTTAATTACAAATACTTGGCTTTGGTACTCAAGACAGCTTTCCATATTATCACTTTTCTATTTCTTGAAATTATGTTTAACGACCTAATAGAATTCGGAAAATCCTATGATTGCATAAAACTGCGGGAGGTGCTAATAATGAAAAATTTTAAATGAAAATAGAAATTTATTTAAATAAATTTATTTAAATTCTATTTGTGAGTGTTGCTTATGCATTTAATGTATCAAATGCAGAAAAGTGAGAAAAATCCATCCAACACAGAGAAATAATTCTTTCTAGTCTGTGGTAAGATTGTATCGTGTGTGTGTGTGTGTGTGTGATTATGGCAAAGCCTCGAGGGCTATCTGCCTAAGAGGAGGGATGCCTTCGTGGAGGACTTTCTAAGGGAAACTGGCTCGTATACACGTTACACATGGGGAAAACCAGGTAAGATTGTATCAAATTCATTTAAACTTCCGTTTAAATTCGAAATGCGATCTCTCAAATCAACGAAGGAATACATTTTTGGCTTAAATTCTACATTAGTAGCAACTGTATAATAGCTAAACTTACCAAAATATTTGTAGAAACCGCCAAAATTCTAGAAATGCTATAAAATCCCGAAAAAATATTAGGAAGATTATGGGTGCCAATCACGCTGAAGACGAAGATGAGCTCGACAGTAAGAACAACTTGTGGAAAAAATTCAACGCTAAATATAAATGCATATGCGAAATTTTCCAAAAAATTCGATAAATATTGTACTTCATCGTGAATATGTATGGACTTATAATGTGATGAAAACTGAGTCGGTAAAGATGGATAAAATTTAATTTCCCAAAATAAATTGTTTTACTAAAACTAAATAAATAGATAAGTAATAGTAAAAAAAATTGTGTAACAAAATAAATAATGATCTTTCTTAAAATACTGCCCAATAAAACATGTCGAATAATTGAATGTTCACAAGTGGAAGCTAAAATTCTAAAAAGATTTCGGAAAATTCTGCAGTCACATGTAAAAGAAACAAGTCTACAGGCTACTAGTACAAAGAAAGGGAGGGAGACGAAACTAAACGGAACAACTACTTCTTGGAATTCAATAGCGGGGAGGCAATTTTATGGCTTATCCATCACACTAAGGGGAAGCAAACATACTGCCTTAGGCTGGGCCATCTTAGAGAGATTTCAGAAAACGAAAGCAATTTTTTTTGGAGGGGTTTGTTGTCTGACAACGCGACCGTTTTCGAAGCATTTCGTTCCGAGAGGCGGGCTCGTTGATGGGTTAATAAAAATTTGAAGATCTAAGATTAATAACCTGATCTAAGATCTAAGATTAAGATAGAGTGATTATAATTGTGTACCGGTAGCACACTTAGCGCGTATTCGAGAGGCATAGATTCGAGTCCTGGAGAAGGCATTGCACATATTTCGTCTCTCCTGTTTCAAAATAACCTAATGGCTTTACAGTAGCGAGCGAACTAAAAGGTGAAGACGATAATTCGTCACCACTAGGATTTGGCGATTGGGTCCCTAATCCCCAGTCGCCCTATAAAGGGGGTATATAAGGTCGTTAGAATGAGCACCCGAGCGATTTAATTCGTAATGAATCATCGTTTTCTCCCTCTAACCAGCCTGCATTCGTGGTGTAACGGTGGCACACTTGGTGAGTATTCGACAGGTCCAGGTTCGAGTCCCGGCGAGGGCATTGGACATTTTCACGTCTCCTGCTTCAAAAAGACTTAATGACTCTACAAAGCATTATCTCGGTCCTAATTATAGGAAACAAAGCAACGATTGAGTAAAAACGATTGAGTCATTGTCTCAATTTACATGGCTGTAGATGGCCAAGATTATCATCCTTCCTTAACATTGCTCACAGCAGCTTAATTGTCTCAACATGGTTCCATGTCTGAAACATCCAAGCGTTTTCGTACTATGCAATTTTCTGCTAAGTGAAATCGTATGGTTTAATTCCAGCTCTCTTTGCAATAACACAGGTTTTTCAGTTAGCCTATCGACACTGTAAATTTTTCACTGTAAATATGCTCAATTTAAAATTATTTTGAGATACTGCTCTTGAACTGAATTTTATGGTCTAAGTGTGAAGATGCGTTAATGTTTAATAAGTAATTGTTTCATTTTTTTATGTCGTCATCAAGATCGAACAACGTTTGAAACCTTTCTTAATACACGCAAGGAAGTATGGAAAATAATAAGCAGGAGAATAATAATATTTAATCCCAAAGACAAACAAAACCTTGAATGGAAAAAAAAGGGAATATAGTAATAGAGTGACGGTATTGTTAAAATGTTGGGAACTAATGCAATCGTAAAAGAAATTAATCTGTGAAATATTAGATCCAAACAATTCCTAAAACGAATGAAAGAGAAAATATGATACAATAAGAAATAGATGATAAAAGAGAAAACAGAAATAATAAGGCTCCTTAGTAATAATTTCTGTTTAAGAATACTTTGATACGAATGAATAAATGGTTGTTTGAATGCACTGAATTAATGCTTGAATGCTTTCAATATCACCGTATCATTGGATATGGCGGTAGAGATAAAATATTGTTTGCAGTGAAATATAAATTTCACGTTGTTAAATATATAACAGGTTCAAATTTTTATACCGTTGTGTAAATTGTGTTATTCAATAAAATCTCATCCTCATCTTGTCATAATTGTATGACACATCAGTCCGGAAGATTTTAAGGTTTCAAGTCAAGCTGATTTGGCCAATTTTCAGTCAATTCCCTATAGAGTATGCAAGTGACTAATGAACTAACAAGACATGCAACGCGGTTTTGTCTTTTCAACCTTTAAGTAAACGCATGATGCTAATGTTGCACTGGTGTTACTAAATGTAAGTTTAGGCTTAGATGCACTTCACATTTTGCAGAGCGTCTATGAGCATGAATTTACAGCTGACGCGGCCAAGGAAAGCTATGTAGTATACGTGTGAAACAGGACATGGAAGAAGGTGACATCCACAAGTACAAGGAAGCTTTTAGCCCCGCAGCCAGGATATTGAAACGTGCTATGTGCTTGGTGGATGAAAATGGAAATACGGATTGGATAATAGGGTGTCGTTTCATTCAAAGCGCAAACAAAGTGCTTCAAAACTAAAATTACCTCTTATTTAACTAAATAATTTTTAGTGTTATTATAATTTTAATTAACCAGTTATTATGATTTAGATCTTTACTACAAACTCTCTTTTCCGTTTCCTCTCCAGAAATGTAAATCAGTGAGTATTAAGCTGAGGTTGTAACACAGAGCACATTTCTGGCTCTCGATGCCCCATAACTTTCACCAGCTCTGATAAGATTGTAATTCTTCGGCTTTGCGTTATTACTGCCGACGTTTAATTGTTACGCCGGTGAGAAGCTCTAAGCCAACTTAGAATTTAAGATCAGTTGTGCAGTCTTTGATTACTAGGTTTAGTTTTAAATTTAAATTTGAGTGTTACTTTGAGTTTCATCTACACAAGTGTAGCTCATTTTGTAAGCATTTGTATGCATTTTACGTTCATATTCTGATTTAAAGAAAATTTTATTTTAACCTTTTTAAGTCTCTCTCTGTTAACTTAACTTCAGACACAGCCATAGTTAACTAGAACTCTGTTAGGAGTTTGATGTTAGTTTATGCTTCCAAAGAAGGTAAAATTCTATAAATTGACTAATTAAATAACTAAAATGCTCACAGCAAAGTATTATTTCAAAATGTGACTAAGCATTGAAAAAATAACTCTTTTTTGTGTACATATAGTTTAACAAGTCCTCACAATCTTGAAATTATTGCAATGAACCTGGATGAATCGAGGCTGTTTGAGTAAACAGTTGCGCATTTTCTGTTCAGCCTAAAGATGTATGTGATACTTATAAGAAAACTAAAACACTATATCAGGCTCGTTAGAAAGTGCTAGATAACTTTCCAATCAACCGCTCTTTGTAATAAACCTAATTTTTCAATTAACCTACAATATATTCAGATCGTCTATTGATTTTACAATAATCTTGAATTCACAAATAACTAATGGATTTATATATAATAAAAACAACTATTTTCGAAGTACTAAACAAATGTTTGACAAAGAGAATATATAAACAATTTATGCATGTTAAAAATGATCCAAAAGTAATAGAAATATTCGGTATTTAATTACATAATTTATTGAAAAAATAATATTTTACCTTTGCTGACGACTAAATCCTGCACACATTCGAAAGGAATTCTCATTGCTACAGCAAGTTGCTTTGTCAAACTACTTTCAAATTCATCTTTTCTTGTACCCACTACTTCATCATAATTAGCATCAATGGTGAAATGAAATGGTATTATTCCAGATTCAGTTACCATTGTGCTTTGTGTTTGGGTACTTGTAGACAACGAGGATGCAGTACTACTATCACGAACAGTGCTTATAGTAGCATCAGGAGGAGAATCCTTTTTCATCGTTGAACTTAGAAACGTGGAAAATTCATTCGCAATTTCAGTAGAGCTCGAGAAAATTTTTTCATCAGGGTTTGGTTCTGAAATTTTATTTCTTGATTGAATCTTTTCCGTATTTATACTAGAGTGCTGTACATCGTTCTCAGTTGCAATGAATTTTAAAGTTGTTGTAGAAATAGCCTGATCATCATCTTGCACCTTCTGTGATTCTTCAGAAGTTTCTGTTCCAGATTCTTTAGTAGTTTCTATTTCAGCTCGTTCAGTAGTTGTGGGTATAGGTTTGAGCATTGATTCTTCGTCTGACTTTGATGTTTGAGAATCAGATTCCGCTGAAAGTTTCGGAGTTAATTTATCCATATCTTTATCCTCATTAATCGATTCATCCGTCTGAATCTTAGAAGTATCAAAAGGAGTAAAACTTGTAGTTAATGGAGTATCAGTTTTAGTATTTGAAGCAGAGTCATCCACTGGAGTTTTAAACTCACGTTCGGTAGAAATGTCAAAATTAATATCAGCATCTGCACCGGTATATTCTTTTGTGCCATCTGAAGTTTCCGGAAGTGATACAGCTGAAGTTTCCCCGTTTGGAGCAATAAAACCATTTGCTTCTGAATGTAGGGAATTATCTGTATTTAGTTTTATAGTAGGCGGATTGTCTTTCGTTTCATCGTATTTCGTCGATAAACTTTCTTCACTGGAAGACAGAACTTCTCTTTCCGTACGTATGAAACTATCATCGAAAGGTGTTAAATCAACTCTTTCTTCAGAATCTGTCGCTTGATCAATTGAAACATCCCGTTCTGTTCTAATTGAAACTTTGTTGGAATTATTATCTTCATTATCTGTATAACCAATATCTGATGTTTCAGTCTGATCTTCATTACTAATAGTAACATCTAAATCTGTTAGAGGAATATTTTGCAGGATATTAGGATCCTTCTCTGTTTCAAAACTTCCTTTTCCTGACTCTGAATTTTTCTTTAAGGATTCAGTAGTACTTTCAAATGCGACGTTTAATGTAGAAGACGAGATGGATGTATAATCTGTTTCATATTTGGTTGACACAGGAAATAAAGATGATAACAATGATTCATTATTAACATTATTTAACATTTCTGTCTGAAACTTTTCTAGTGTGAAAGGAATTGCTGTTGGACTCTCCGGTAACAGGTTATTATCACCTGTTAATGCTGTATCAGTATCTGTTAAAATAGATTCACTGCTTAATGAAAGTGAGTTGTCTTCTGTAAGATATGGATCTTCAGACGTTGAATATTCCACTTGTGCATATGTAATCGGTATCTCAACTTCTGATTCCATATCTATGTCATTTCTAGTTCCTGTGAAGCTAACAAATGTGCTTTGAAGGGAGGGTGATGAAAGTGTATCAGTAACTTCCACCGCTTTCGTATTTGCATTTCCCATATTTTCTATTTCATTTTGAGTATTGTCTATGTTTTCTGTTTGCTTATTGACGTCATCAAAAGATGCATCTTCAGATGAAGTTGAAAATTCATCATGTCCATTCGTAATGTGGTATCTTGGGTTCTGGTTTAATATCCATGTCATTCGTAGTTTCTAAGACCTTGACAGATGTACTTTGAAGGGAGGGCGATGAATCTATGCTAGTAACTTCCCCTGCTTCTGTATTTGCATTTACCTCAGTTTGGATTTCATTTCGAGTATTATCTATTGGTTCTGTTTGTTTATTATTGTCATTCAGTAATGAATCTTCAATTGAAGTTGAAAATTCATCTTGTCGATTTGTAGTCAGTACCTTTGTTCCTAATTCAGGAAACTGATTATTTGTAGTTTTTGCCATATGAACTGTTGTTATTTGTGAGAAAGGCGTTGAATATGTAGTAACAACTACATCATTTTCTGTAATAACGTTTCCTTTAGTTTGAATTTCAGTACGAGTATCTAATGGTTCTGTTTGGTTATAAGTGCTCGAAGAAATTTTGGAAGTCACAGTAACTGCATGTGTAGAATCGTGTAAATCCGTCGATACACTATTGGTTTCAATATCTTTATCGCTATCATTTGAAGAATTTACTTGGTAATCTGTACTCGTCGAGACTGCTGAATTAGGCACATCAGTGCTTTTAGGCCTTACGGCTTCCCAAACGTGAAGTTCTGTCACAATGTATCCTTTTCTCGTTGAAAGCGATTGACCATTATTGGCAGATAAATCAGAAGAGCTATACCTTTCATTGCTTGTAGAGGATGTTTGCTGCTGTGTTACTGCATTTTTATCTTCCATAGTTACTCTCCGATTTCTTGATTCTGATTCCTGAATTTCAGTTTCCTCACTTACTTCAGTAGAAATATCAGCTGCCGTTTTTGAAGTATGGCTCTCTGATAACGTAACAACCTTCTCTATTATGGCATATGTATTTGTTGAAGTTTCTGAATGATTATTACTTTTCAATGAATTTTCTGGTACATTTGGGGAAGCAGAAGTTTCTTCCTCTGTAGGTGATAAATTTAAATATTCAGAATCACTAACTGATGTTTCAGTAACAGAGGAGCTACTTCTTGTGGTAATGGAGGCAATCTCTTCTTTTCTTGATATTTCCGTTTTCATTCCAGTGTATTCGTCGTATTCGTCTACGAAAGATTTCGTCTGGGAATTACTTTGAAATGGAAAAGAAAACGATGTCAAATTAGACGACAAAAACACATTTCTTTCACTTTCCATTTCTGTATAATCCCATGTTGATCGTACTGTCTCATTTTCGACATTAGCTGATATTGTTACTGGAAGCGATATTAGAGGTATAGAATCAGAACTTTTATTTTTAATTGTATGCATTGAAGTTTCTACTGGTGCTTTAGTCTTTTCTTCATAAACTAAATGATAGGTAGGCTCAGCTGATCTAATTGAGGTCAGAGGTAAAGAATTTACAGTAGATATGGGCTGAACTGATGGCAAAGAATTTATGTAGCCATTACTCATGGTTTTTGAACTGTCATAAGAAATTCCAGAATTAAAAGGTGACATCTCTTCGGTTTCTTCGTAAAAAACATGTTCATTAGTAGCTCGTTTCTCAATTACTACATTATCACTAGCTTCCATCGTTTTGTCATGAATTAATTCATCTTCCGATTCAAAAGTTATAGGATAGACAGAACTTCCAAAATCTTGTTCTAATTCCTCAGTGCTATTAATTTTATGAGGCATATCAAATGGAAAGCTCTTTATTGCACTGACATCTAAACTTATTGATGGATGTGGCTTATTTTCGATATCCTTTGTGAGTGGTTTTGGAGTGGAAATTGAAGATATAGAACCAAGAGTTTTATTTGAAGCTGCTCTAACTGGAATGCTTTCCGAAATTTTATTGTCTTGTTCAGAAATTATATGGTAGGAATGCTCAGCTGATTGAACTGAAGCGACGGTTAAAGGATTTTCGGAAGACGTTAGCTGAATAGTTGGTAAATATTCTACGCTGTTATCATTTAGAGACTTTGAGCTATCACGGGTAACAATCGAGTTAATAGGTGATTGTCTTTCTGTTTCTTCATAGAATGCATTCTCATTAGTAGCTCTTTTCTCAACAACCAAGTTATCATCCATTTCCTTTGCACCATCATGAGTTATCGTAGCTTGGGGCAAAGGACTGACAGAACGCATAAAAGTTTCCTCAAAGACATCGGTATTATTTATATTGTCAAAGAACGTTTGAGGGGGAAAACGTTTTTGTCTATTATCATCTGAACGAATTGATGGAGCTAGATTATTTGCGATGTCTGCTGTGAGTGCTGTTGGAATCGAAACTGAAGATACAGAATCAGCAGTTTTATTTTCAGTTGTTGCCACTGAAATGCTTTCTGGAGATTTGATGTTTTGTCCACCTGCTGAATGATTGGTAGGCCCTGCTGATCTAGTCACAGAAGACATTGACTGTATAGTTTTTACAGGCTCTGTGTATAGTTTACTTAAAGTTTTTGAACTGCTATAAGGAATATCAAAATCGATTGATGATTTTTTTTCTGTTTCTTCGTACAAAACTCTTAGTGCATTAGTAAGTGGTTTTTCAGTTACAATATTATCACTAATTTCTTCTTCACTGTCCCAAATTGTCTTATTCTGGAATTTAAAAGTTGGAATATTTAAAGAATTAGTAAATTTGTTTTCAAAACTGAGAGTAGTATCACTTATTTTAGAGATATTATCAAGAGAAAAGTTTTTTATTACATTAGCTTCTGATTGTGTTTCAAGAATTTCGTCTTCAAATTTTACTGAACTTACGTTTGGTTGGTTTAGATCATAATTCAAAGGAAGAGAAATGCTTTGTGTACTTAAAGTCTGCGTAACAGTTTCTTCCATTAGATCTATAAAATTTCCATCATCAAATGATAATGGGCTGTCTGAATAATTTCCTGCGTATATGCTTACAATAGAAGTTTTTGGGCTGAAGCTTGTTCTTGTTTTAGGAATTTCATTTTCTATTCCAGAATCACGTAATAATGTACTGTCATCCGGAGTACTAAAATTGAAGTTCGATGAATTAAAGAAAGTTTTAAAGTTTTCATTTATTTCTTCGTCAAGATTTCGCGACAAAGGATGTAGTGTTATTTTCGAAAGCAGTGCGTTTTTGCCATCATTAGATGCAGTATTTTGAAACAGACCAGCTGCTGTAGATGATATGTATGAAGGAGTATTTCTGTAATATTTTTTCCTACTATTATTAGAACTTAAAATGGACTGTGAAAAATTATTCGAATCAACGTTTTCTGAATGCGAAGAATAAACAGGTTTCTCTATTTTGTTATCAAGAAAGCTTTGAGTACTCTCCGTGACTTCAAATGTGGTTTGTTCATTCTTTAGACCGGTGCCTGAAGGAGTACCTAAAGCATTCTCAGATTTATTCAAATGACTACTTTCAACTAACTTTCTGTTTCTATAAAAATATGCGCTTTCATTCCTACCAATATTTGTTTGTACCTTTTGATTAGCGTTTTGCAACGAGTCATTCTCAGCAGTGGTTTCAATTACGTAATCTGAGTTATCATACTTAGGCTTCAATGATGCACTTGCATCAACATTTGAAAAATTCTGATTCCAATCTGTTCTTGTTGTAATATTTTGAGCTGGATATCTTGGGGTTGTTTCAAACCCCTCAGCAATTTCATTTTTAGAAATATTTAAAACATTTTCTATTCCTAATTCAAATTGAGGCTTGTATAAATTCTTTTTCTCTTCCTCTCCATTTTGTTTAACAAGTTCCACAAATTGCTCTTGAATATTACCAAGTGTGGATTTTGCTGATTCAAACAGATTACCTGAAGATATATTTGAATTTGTGTTTAAAGTGGGTATATTCTCTTCTAATATTGCATCAAGATCTTCAGTTTTGTTGTTTAAGTATCGAAAGGAATGAAGATTTCCGTTTTTCATGTTTGCTTTTGCTGTGCTTTCCGTATTGTTCAAATAAGTTGGCCTAGAAATTCGTTTTCTTCTTTTTAGTGCTGCTGTGATAGATTCTTCTGTTTTAAACATATGATTTCTTTTAGGTGATGATTTTGGACCATCATGTTCCTTTTCTAAAACCCAATTTGCGACATTAGAATGAACATTCAAATAAAATGAGTTTGAAATCTTTGTCGGCGTATTATTACTTTTAGATAAAGTATCATTATTTTGTTGTTGAAGATTACTTGAATCTAAGAATTTGTATTTAGAGTAAAATTTTAAATGTTTTAATTGCATTCTTTTGGTTGATTCTTTATTTGAAGTAGCGGAATTCATAGATTCTCTATCAGAGTTTTTGTTTTCATTTATACCAATGTCTGCACGATTATTTTCGAACTGCGACAAATTCGGTAGTTCACGCAAGGGGGGAAAATATCTGCTCTCTGCTTCACACTTGTCAAATTCTTTGCATAAAGTGCCTGGAAAGATAAATTGATGGATAGCCCTCTTCTTCAAAGTATGTAATTTTAGATTCCCTATTGATGATACTGAAATGTGATTCCGCAGTTTTTGAGGTGACCTATTTATTAAATATAATTTCCTCTCAGTTTCTAATATAGAGCTCTCGTCTGCACCTGTCATCCAAAAACGTTCTAAGCTTTTTTCAGTTCTTTTCTTTGCAACTCTATCAATGTGATGCATACTCCGAGGAAATGGTTTTGAATTAAGTACCGAGAAAAAACCAAATGACTTGTCTGAGGAAGAATTTGGATGAGATCCATTCGTATGGCATTTCACAGAATTCAAACTGGTTTGCAATGAATCTTGGAAGACAGAATATTGCTCTGCATGGGAAATTTTTGTTAAATTTTTAATACTTTCGTTTTCGGAATCAACATCACCGTTTGCCTTTGATAAATTTTGCACATATTTCAGATATCTAGCGTCATGCAGTGTGTTTATATTTGCTAGATATTTACGCATTTTTTCAACAACAGTTTTATTTCTAAAATCTAGATTTGAAGTAGAAATTTTTTTTAACTTTCTAGTTATGTCACCGAATATGATTTTTTCATAAAAATTGGAATTAAATTTTTGAAGTCTTTTATGACCCTTTTTAGTATTAAAAGGTATGCGGTTTTTATTTAGGATTAGTATAAAAGATTCTTTGTTAAATTTTGATAAAGGTTTTAAAAAGGAAGGCTTTCTGTTTAGAAATAGAAGAGAATAATCAGCCTCTTTTTTATTTTTAACAATACTGTGGTCTTCAACAGACTGACCGTAATCTGACAGTTGATATTTATGCGATATAGCTCGACGACCAAGCACAGAACTAGAATTTCGGTTGAAACTCTCACTGGAGATACAATAGTGGTCAACCACAAATCTTGCAGATTTGTCATCTATGTCTGAAAGGAAAAGAATAATTTAAAAATGAAATATCTGATGATAGTTATTGCAAAACAATTTAAACGATAAGTACAAAATTAAGTGTTCTAAAATTATCAGTTATAGGTTCGAGTAGATATTCTTGTCCACCTCTGTATGGCAAAGCGAAAATCACAAAAGGACATTCATTTAGAGAATTTGCGTTTCTTCACGCGCGCTACCAAATTTAAATATTCTGGCATTGATAATTAGGGGAATGAAGGCTTATAGGAAAGAAAGCATAAACTTAACTGGTTAGTCAAAATAAATATAAATCCCTACAAGTTTAAAATGAAAAATCCAAAAGGTTTCAGATTTTAAATTACGTCCAAAGAGACTTTTTTTTAACGTTTTGTGTGTTACCTTTATTTATTAAATATCATGTTCTTCGCACTTAAACAATAAATTTCAGTTCAATAGCAATGTCGCAAAATAATTTTAAAATGAGCCTATCTTTAGAATTTCCGATACACAGTTCTGCGCGCTAGGAATAAGAAGGTTTCCCCCCCCCCGTAGATTGTTGCCATTGCTCGCTTTCAAATCGTTGAGTTTGTTACTCAAAAATTCGTTAAAGTTTTACAAAATACGAAATCGATAACAAAACAAATTCCAAATTTCAAATTTGGTCTTCCGCATGCCCATATTCGCAGTAGGATTACGTCATCAAAATTCGATGACTCTAGGTACCATTGTTTTATCCCAATGCGAGAAATGTACATACATTTATGCAGATTTTTCATTATTTAATTTCTTCAAATATAATGCAGGACTCTAACATTTGGTGGCAACAGTTTGAAAACTGAAACGGACATTTAAAGTGAACCAACGCAAAATCGCAAAACGATAACAATAGTTCTTTAGGTACAAAGCCACTTTGGACTAAAAATATTTGCATTGAAATGAATTTTTGTACAACAACCAGATTATGATTCTAAAATAATAAAATTCATGAGCACATTAATAATAAATTTGAAAATTCACAAATTATTCGTTTATTGCTTATTTATTGCTGAGAAGGAATAGCTTTTAATTAGTAATTAGTATGTTCCATTCAGTTTGCATGTTAACACCATGCTATGCTTCATGACTAATTGCGTGAGTGATAATATTTTTTTATTCCAAAGGGGCTTTTTCCCTGAAGGACTATTCTTTTCGTTTTCCGATTTTGCGTTGGTTCACTATAATTGTCCGTTTCACTTTTCAGACTTTTGCAACCAAATGTTAGAGTCCTGCATTATATTTAAAGAAATTGAATAACGTAAAATCCGCATAAATGTATGTATATTTCTCTCATTGTGATAAAACGATCGGTATCTAGAGCCATCAAATTTTGAACGACTTAATCCTCCACAAATATGGGCGAATGGAAGCCGAATTCCGAATTTGGAATCGTTTTCATCTATTTCATATTTTGTAAAACTATAACGAATTTTTGATTAAGAAACTCAACAAGTTCAAAGTGAACAATGGCAACACTGAACGGAAAGTAACATTTTTATCTCCAACGCGCGAGTCTCTGTATCGGGAATTCTAAAGATATGCTCAATTTAAAACTATTTTGCGATATTGCTGTTCAACTGAATTTTATGATTTAAGTGCAAAGAACGTGATATTTAATAAATAAATGTAACACGCAAAATGTAAAAAACGCTCCTTTGGACGTAATTTAAAATCTGAAACCTTTCAAAGTTTTTTTTTTTTTTTAAATGAATGAAAAGTTTGAAATGTGAACACATAGAGATTCTTTTTGTAATACGTATTTTAAGCAACTAAAATTATTTACTGTCAAAATTTAACAAAAAGATTTAAAAGCGTCAAAATATTTTTGAATAAAGGGCTTTCTGCGCTTCCTTTCCTGTCAGAACAGATGCAGATAAAAACGTCTGTTTTCTATACGGGTGTATTATTATTATCATGTATCTAATATAAGCCATAAAATATTGAACTAAGTTATATATTATATTAATATGTGAAAAAAATGACCAAAAATATTATTTAGAATTTTCTTTGCTGTCTATATATAGAACTTTATCACATTTTCTTTCATTTATTCCTGTTTCATTCAAGTTTGCATAAGGTCCTCATGAAAAAAAAAAAAAAAAAAGTGCAAGCATAGTGAATTTTATTCATAAGTGTTATAAAATTTAATATTCGAGTTAAGGGAATTCAAATGTGTAAGATTTTAAATCCCCAAATATTTTAGAAAATTTCAAAATTTCATTCTAGCAGCTACATTGTTTATGCTTTTAGCAACTAGATGCACCTAGCAACTAAAGTAAGATTTTGGCGAAATGCAAAACAGATATTTCATCAACCAAAAAAAGGCTTAGTAGGGTTTAGGTTACTAAACATTTTAGTGATTAGTACGTCATTATTGGTTTCGGCGTCTTGAAAATGCTCATCAAGTTTCCCTGAGCGTTGCAATGCATTTAGCTAATTTTTAAATTGCATGTTAAACTATGCATTAAAAAACTTTATTGCTTCATTTTACCTGGGAGTAAGATAACATAAGTTATGGATTCCTATATTAAAAATTCGAGGAAATGTTATGTCACAACGAAATTTGCAGTACTTGAGTACAAAAGTACATTACAAAGTAGGCTCTACTTTTATATGCGCCCTAAGATCACCAAATGTGGCGATATGCGTTCTGCGCTGGTTTTTGGCCCGATTGCGTGTTGTATGGCAACCCTTTTGACGTTGAAAATTCTTTTGCTAGAGTGGTTTAATTGCTCGTTGGTTCGTGTCGTGCGTGTTTTGAAATGGCCTATGTTGCAATGAGAGACGTGGTTGCAAGAGGGTCTGGGAGATTATTTTTAGTGGCTGTGCATGATAGAAGTAAGAAAACGCTGATGCAGTGTATTAAAGACTGGATTTAGCCTTGTACAACAATTTTTTCGGATGACTGGAAATCTTACAAGGATTCAGAAGTCAAACAACAAAAATCAGCGTTAATTCACAAAATTTTCACAGGACTAGTTTCGATGGTTTTACCGAACCATCATCTTCAGCTTCAGCAAAATTATTTTGCGGTTTTGCAGCTGAAGATGATGGTTCGGTAAAACCATCGAAACTAGTCCTGTGAAAATTTTGTGAATTAACGCTGATTTTTGTTGTTTGACTTCTGAATCAGTATTTATTCGGCGTGTTATTGTGTCTTAATCTTACAAGGAGTTAGGAAAAGAAGGTTTTGAACATTTATTTGCGAGCCATAGTATGAATTTTGCGGAAAGCGAGTCTGGCTTTCATATAAATAGCATAGAGAGTACGTAGCGGCATGTTAAAGCTACGTTCTGCTGTCCAAAGAAGCATCGATTATGGTAAATACATTTTTTTATTATTTTTATTTTGTAGAATGTTATGTTCATTGTTTTTTACTATGAATTTCTGTTGTTATGTTGAATTATTTGTAATTTATTTTATTTATTGTTGATTTGTGCCCAATGCCTAGATTGTGCAATTCGTAGATTTTTTTAAAGTTTAAACAGAATGTTGTGTACATGGTATTCTTTGAAATTTACTGTTGTTATGTTAATTTATTGAAGCGAGGTGTGCGTAGTTCGTAGATTTCTTCGCTGGCTAGATTGTGCAATTCGTAAATGCTTTTTTAAGTTAAAAAATATTGCTGTGTACATGGATTCTTGTCAAATATTTTTGGTTAGAAACTACTTTTTTGCTATCTAAATTGCTTTTTCTTTTCTTTTCTTTTTTTTTCTTCTGATTTTTTGCTTAAATTGTGTGTTTAAAACGGGGTGTTTTGCATGAGCGAAAACCGCGTTTTTGGAGACATTTTAGGCTTAAAGATAGAAATGTAGACAAAAAATTTAGGTAGTAATATGGCACCGTGGAGTTTCTAGCCAAAAATGTTTGGCGAGAAATTTGTCGCCGCATTTGGCGACCTGAGGGTGCATATAAGAGTAGCTCCACAACGTATTACCATAATCTCTGTAGAAGATATATGTAAAATGACATCGTTCAAAAACTTGGAACCGTGTGTTTCGTGGTACTTATTTATTAAGGTAAGAACCTTAGTAAAAGTTGCCAAATTTTCAAAATGGGCCAAACTCTGGCAACCGCTCACGTATCCTTTTGTCCGGCAACTATACTCATAACGCTCTTTCAGTAATGCAATGGCGCTATTTTAGTATGCGTTCTTTTTTGTTGCATTCATTCCAAGTTCCAGCGGTTTTTATAAACCATGCGTGATATTTTTTGCTTTAGTTTTAAAATATGGGCTTTGGAATTTGCAAACAAAGGAAGAAACTGGCGCAAAATTTATCCAGAAATACAGAATATTGTTAAAAATTTTCTAAAGGGAACAACGACGAAAAGCTTCCCTAGGTAACCGGTAACGCCGCGGTTTGCACGAAGCCGAGTCTTCGCTGTCTGTTGTTTTTAGCGAAAACAGGTCGCTGTTTTCGCTAAAAACTTTGGGAGAAGAACAGATGAAAAAATTTATGGTAAGTTTTAAAGAAGAGTATAAGTGTTTAAGTTTTTAATGTATCACGTAATCCTTATTTAATAACTAAAATTTGTATTTAAATTGAAGTATATTTTCTTTTTCTATCTTGATAATGTTTACCAACTTTCAATAAATATCGATAGCTTAAATAGAAAATGTTTGATAGAAAATGTTTGTAAAAATATAGCGAAAGTCATTAGTTTGCACCAAAAAAGTAACGTTTCCCTTTTCATCTTTTACTACAGATTCCCTTACTACTCTTACTACAGATTGCGCCAAGTTGGTTGCGTTAATACGTAAGTACCTATTTCGTGCTGTAATTCAAACCAACGGACAGTACATGTTGCGACTGTGGAAGTAATACTTCTAATCATATGACTACGTCAATTAGGGAATTCTTCAAACAGAAGCAAATATCTGTTATGTCGCAATCTCTTCAGTTACTATAGCTCTCAGCCCAATGAATTCTTGTTATTCTCTCCTAGCCAGATGTCTTTACGGTTTTATGACAGTTCGAATAAACTAAAATGACATGATGGTTCGAAGTAACTAAAGTGACATGATGGGATCTCTGGTAGATCTCAAATAGGCATGACTACATCAGTTAAGGAATTCTTCAGACAGAAGTAGATGTCTGTTACGCCGCAACCTCTGCAGTTACTATATATCTCAGCCTATAAATTCTTGTTATTCTTTCCTAACCAGATGTATACAAGGTCAACGTTTTCCCACAGTTCGAATTAACGAAAATGACATGATGGAGTGCCTGTGGTAGATCTCAAATAGGCATTCTCTAGAGATCTGTACCAAGGGTTTATGTTTCGATGATTTCATATATGGTTGCCAGGCAATAATTATTATATATCAAATAAACGTACCTTATAAGAACTTTTCAATGAATATTTCGAACTCGAGAACAGACAGCTTAATTAACTTTATTTTAGAGAATCTTTATTATCTTCAGCAAGTTTGAATACTATTTCTTGCAAACTCCTTTCTCAGAGATTCGTCTCATTTCTAAAGCCACTTTATATTCAGAACAACTTTGCAATTTAAAAATGTCATTATAAAAGTAAAATTTAGTTACATTTGTACATGCATGAAGAAATGCTCTTCTATTTCTAGTAGAATACTCTCAATAATGGTGACCGAAAAAATACCCGCAGGAAAAAAGTCCACAGAAAAAATACAGAATAATGCTCACAGGTATAAATGCTCACAGGAAAAAGCTCACACGGAAATATGCCCACACAGAAAAAAGCCCATATGAAAAAATGCTCACTTAGAAACATCTCACATGGAAGAAAAAAGGCCACTGATAAAACATTAACGCAGAAATTCCCTTATATTAATCAATCAATAGTTAATTTCTACATTAAAATGTATATTAATCTATTTGAACATCGGACACCTACTTGAATTTTTTTAAATAAAAATTACTTAAATTTACAAAAAATCTATGGTATATATTTTAGAAACTGCATAACTTATGTGTAGATTCTATAGCTATATAATATTAACAAATGTGCCGTTTTGAATTAGGAAAAGGAGAGGGGGAAGAAAGCAAAAATGAAATAGTATGTACAATGAAAAATTATTACAATTTTAATTGTTTGAAAGGTAAAATAATTGTAAATATAAGACATTTTACACATTTTATAATATAAACATTTATAAAAATAAGAAAAAAAAATAATTACTTTGTTTAAATTACTCAAATTACCTTATAATTAAATCATAAATGCATATTCCAAAGAACTATAAAAATATAAACTTACCGATTATTAGCTAATCTACGAAAATATCTAATTTTATCATCTATTTCATCAGTCTCTTACATTATTTGCGATTACCGAATGTAAGTTCTCATATTATCTTTTTTATGTTTACTTCAATACGTCCTGCATTTACGTTAGCTAATAACAAACATTGACAGGCTTAGTCTTTTTTGAGTCCGTCAAATAAAAACCATATACTGGATTGATACAGTTTACACATGCACTGTTATATTTGTTAAATGTTTTGATAAAATAATATTATTGAATTTAAATCACTTTCAAAAGTTGATATTTTACATAAGTATGTTCAACAAGGCGGTATAATCAAAGTGCCTAAAAACGTAAATTGAATTTTAAAATTTTAAATTTCTGCAGAAATTTTAGAACTTTTTTGCCCCTAAACTTAACTACATTCAAACACTAATTTCTAGAGATACACCTTAAAAAAACCTTAATAAACCTTAAAGCATGCAAAAATACATTGAAAAATCGAAAGCTAACTATTAGTAGTTACGGAAAAAGAGAATGTCGTACAGGGGCAATGGTATAAAATGCAAACCGGCCCCTCAAAATTCAGGATTTCACTCTAGACTTTTTTAAGCATCAATTTTGTGTTCTTAGAGTCCTTAAGTTACAGTTCATGAAAAAGTTTACTGAAATTTAAATTCTTTTAAATATTGTCCCTAAAAGTGTCAATGTAAGCAGTTGCCCATGTGAGTATATTTCTAAGTAAGCAGTTTTCCATGTGAGCTTTTTTCTATGTGGGCATATTTCCGTGAAGGCTTTTCGGCGATCATTTATACTTGTGAGCATTATTCTGTGAGTATTTCTTCCTGTGAGTATTTTTACAGTCACCAAATTCAATATTCATATTTTTAGGGATTCTTATACACCCGCAAAATTTTGCACTTTAAAATGGCGCAGGGCACTCAAGAAAGTTAAAGATAAATATTCCTAAGACAAAAAGAAAATGCTGAAAAATTAATTTTGTTGATTTAGATATAAAATACCTAAATCTTAATAACTAAGGCCTTGTTTAAATATATAAAATTATTCTTAAAACACAGAATTTCATTTCTATTCACATTTTTACCTGTTTCTTGAGAAAACATTTTCCACAAGAAGCAAGGGACTGTCATTCCAAGGCCCGTTCTCTTATGCTTCATTAAGAGTTTCTGTTTTTCTTCCTGAATGATGCTTGCCTTTCGAAAGTCCTTAGCTAGTAAATACCCGACGAGGAGAAATATCAGATGAGTCGTCAGATAAATGGTTGCTTTGGTTACAAGCATGGACCGATGTTTGATTTCTTAGAATTTATATTCGCTTGAGTGCGTCCCGAGTAAATGCTGCAAGGATGTAAAAAAGTACTTAGACATATCAAAAATATAGAAGAACAAAAAATTGAATCTACAATGTATATTAATAGATTTTTAAGAATAATATATTATTCAGATTATTTGCAAACAAGGAAAGTTGACAACTTATTTAGTCTAAAACAGTTGTAGGCACTGCAGAGTTATATAGAAACTTTCCGAAGCCAAAGAACCAAAGAAATCCGCAATGCCATGTCCAAGATTCGAACTCTGGACCTTTCGATTGCTAGCCGGATTTGCTTAAGGCATGCGGTAAAGAAGAAGAAAAAGATCACAACACCAGACCTTACAGGGAGCAGGCAATAATAAGGGTTTTTAAAATTTATCTCTTATTTTTTAAAATTAATGTATGGCAATTTCTAATAATATTCGTATTTTTTATTAATTTTACTTAATGTAGATAATTAATGTAGAAAAAGCGTCTGAACGTTGAAAACGGAAAATTTCAGCAATAAAGATTTATTTTGACGTGTTTGTAACAGCATACATTATAACACTTAAGAAGAGAACAAAACTATATTTAAAAGATTTCATAGCTTGTAAATTTTTAGATTTTGAACTTCTTATATTTTCTAACTTCAAAGAATTAAAATTTCAGCAATAAAGATTTAGTTTGACGTGCTTGTAACAGCATACATTATAACACTTAAGAAGAGAACAAAACTATATTAAAAAGATTTCATAGCTTGTAAATTTTTAGATTTTGAACTTCTTATATTTTCTAACTTCAAAGAATTAAACTCAAATTCTTCTTTGAAAAATTTCTTCTTTAAAACGTTAGATTGAAATCTGAAGCTTTCAGATACCGACAGTTGTTTTCTCAAATCTATTTTGATCTCACAGTAACTGGATATTATTTATTCCTATTTTATAATTTTAAAGACTACCATCGTTTCATTGCTATTACAACAGTTGAGTTTCATCAAATATTAACTGAACGTAACTCCAGTAACAAAAATATTTTTCTGAACTTAACAATAGTTAGAATATTTGTTTAGAATCTTATAAATCTTGGCCTTTTAACAAATTTATAATTCGTTAAATATGATGTCAATTTCTTGGTGTGGAACATAAAGCATATCATAAAAGTTCAAGACTAGATAACGCAAACAATATCTTCATGAACTAGGCAAAGGATAGTGTAAAGAATTGTCGGAGATTTTCAAAAATGAAATTATATTTTTCATAATTTTTAAAACTATCTTCTTTAGAACCCAATTGTAGGAATTTTTTCTGGCGATTATTTGACGTTAAATTCTCCGTGCTTTTCATTTTAAATCAAAGTGAACATTAACCTTAATAACCCGGTATTTTGTTGTCTTCGCTTACACGCACTCGATGATTTTGCTTGGTAACGGCGTCAAACCTCGAAAACATTTCTGGGAAGCAATCAATGAATACTTTGGGAATGCATACACAAAAGCGTGAAATCGGTGTCTAATCGGGAATTGAAAGAAAGTTTGGTGAACATTGGACAGCTTTTTGGAAAAACACGTCATTCTATCAAACTGAACCAATAGAAGAAAACATCATATGCAACACTGATCAATATTCGACTGAATAACTGACAACATAAAATTGATTTTATGCATTTGCAAGGGGGAAAAGCAAAAATTCTTCAGTTTTGCATGCTTTGCATTCGATTTCATTTCGTTAGCTAATAGGAAAAAAAGAGAGTTTTCCACTGCATTACGTAAATTTTGACGGAATAGACTGGCTTCATACTTTCATCAGTATGTCTAGTTCACCATATGCCACTGATTATTATAGGGTTTTGACACCCACTAAATTGAATAAAGAAGATTAAAAGAAATATTCTCTAAATGTTGTCTTGGGAGAATTTTATTTAAAGCGTTCTTTCATTTCAGTTATTGTAAGCAAATTTCTAAGTCAAGACAAAAATACTGTTACCAGTGGCTATTAGAAAATTACAATACATACATATAAATCAGATGATGAGGCCTTTAAAATATTCATATTTAAAAGAAGATAAATATAAAAATCAGAAAAACTTTCAATAAAGCTATTTCCATTCGAAGATCTTTAATAACTCCAAATCATAACATTTATGAAATTTAAAATTAGAAAAATATGCCTAATGAAACTAAGCTTAACTGAGGTTTTGTATGCAAGAGCTACTTAATTGAGAAAACACATTCAATGAACTCATCTGTGTTCAATAAATAAACTTATATGATTCAAAAACCTCCGTAAATGAAAGCAATAAAAATAATAATTTTCAAGCCACTAGTTTTTATAGATGCAAATTTATGTTCACTTAACTAAATTTTTAATCTTTTATAATGAGATGCTTTACAAAACAGAATGCTTATTTACAGATGTTTCTGGCCAGAGTCATGAAATACTATCAAATCATTTTATTGAAGTGGACGTTATGACACAATAACATAGAGGAAGAGGCAAGAACTTTTAGAACGAATTCATTTCTTAGTTACAGATTTAACATTCAGTATTTCACAAGAAATTGTAGCAGTTAGTAAAAAATGAAATTTTTGCAGCTCAATATAGAGACATTTTTATGGAAACAAAAATTACAACCCCAGCTTCTATGTAAACAAACCTAGTTATTCTGATGTCACTGATACAAAGGTCTTAATCAGCATATTTTTTTTATGAAATGGATTTGAATTGTAATGTTCGACAAATATATGAAACTGTATATGTAATTTATCCTATTCTATAATTCAAAAAAGTTTTTATGAAGTATTTTACCAGTTTTCGGCGTCTCCAAAAATCTAAGAATTTAATTATTTCTTAAATTTTATGCATATTAAAAACATTTATTTTGTCAGTTCTTATTCTTGTTAGTTTCATTCTAGTCAGTCATTTATTCTTGTTAGTTTTAATTACTTGTGCTTGTAAAGTTTGTGATTAATTTGTGATTTGGAATGATTTTTATTTGTTCGATTATATTTGTCATTTTAAAGACTATAGGTAAGAGCTGAACGACTTTTGTCTGCAGTTTGACATGATTCGTTTTGAATGAGCAATATCATGATAACTCTCCGGTTCAGTTCCTTTCAAAGCTTTTAGATACAGTAAAATCTTAGCCTAGAGAATAACCTTGGACTCAAAGATTTTACTGAAGTAGAGAGAATTATGTGAACATTTAGCATCAATTTCGAATTTAGCAATCTGAATAAACAGTTGTCCTCTGAAAAGGAGTCAATTATGAGATAATGATTATTTGCTAAGCTCACATTACCTGCTTGACTTCATTTTATTGCTGAATAATATCACTGAGCCTAATCCAAGTGCAAAAGAAATAACCTCAGATCTCAACATTTCCTTTCTAAAGCTTTTACATTGGATACAGTACATGAAGGGCGTAAAGCTTTCGTTTTGACTTTAATGAGTTCATCACTTTAGACGAATGTAAATCTCACCTTATCGGATTACTTAATATTTTACCATTACTTTAAGGTCTTATCTTCATATTCTTTGGCAAATATTTACAGATACAAGCTAGAGCCTTTAGTACAGATACAAGCTAAAGTCTTTGGTATCGGCAAGTCTTTTTAACAAGAAGTTTCTTTTCTGCAGTAGTTGTTTTTAATTACAGTCCTAGGAGCTCTTGTCAAACTGCATGACTGTTCCTGTGAGTTCTTGCTTGAAATGGAAGACACTGTGTTTACTGTATACTTTGCTTCTGACAAAGTAAACAGTAAGATTTAGAGTCGGTTTGAATCACTTACGACTGATTGTTTTGTAATGTTGCGCGCTCCCAACCTGCACGCAACAATAGTGGTGACTGCTAAGAACTGGAAAGTAGACAAAGTCTTGAGAAGGGTTTAAATCAGTTTTTATTCAACTTTAGAAATTACAAATGCGTGCTCTTGACGCTCACAACCTACGCCGACCCGGCGGTAAAATAAAAAAAAGAAACTAAAAAGAAATAATAACAAGTGACTAACTACGAGGCTCTCTAAACGTAACTAACCTCACCGCGATCTAAGATACCGCTGATAATTCAGCAAACTTCTGAATATTACGTTGAAAGATTAAAAATCTGCCGAGGCAAGCACACAGGCCGAAACGCGTGGTTCTTCAATTTCTAACTAGCCACCTCCACGCTCGTGAAGCAAGAAAGCACACTTTCGAACTCGTTTCCCTTCTATTTAACTCAGATTACTTCCGCTGACAATTTGAATCCTTGCGCGTTCTACTAAAATTTACATACTCTGGCACTGGCAATTCCAGGGGAAAGTGAGGCTTGACAGGAAAGATAGTTTAAACGTAAAATAAATGTTAGTTAAAATAAATATAAACCCTACAGTTTAACCATATATCTTTCTCTAATTCGATGGTTCACTGATAGTTCCCGATTAAATAATGCAATGGTAATAATTTAACTCTCTTTGTTAATGATTATTAGATATCTAATCTATTATCTCCTTATAAATAAAAATATTTAGTAACACAATTTCATTACAAGTCATAGCACAGACAGTCTTAAAAAATCTTTAGATCAGTTTCCTAAATACAGATGCATTTGCAAACACAGTTGCAGTTACAATTTACGTCAAAACCCTCCCAAGCTTTGATTAATAATGTGCTGTTACATGAAATGAAGCTCTCAGTTCAAAATATTTTTTTAATTCAATCCAAATTTCTAGAAAGTACTTAAAAAGTTATTCCACTTCCTGTCACGACAATGTTTTGGTTCATTGGCGGGGCAGAAAGAGATCGATTTGACAAGGGAAATTTCCTCTTTTCGTTCCGATTCTCTTCAACTGATGAAGCTATCTACAAAGGCAAAATTTTCTGAATAG